TTTAATGTGACATATTAAAAAAATCCCCATCAGCATCCAGCATATGTACAGTTTCTGATGGAGAGAAGAATATAAGAATTATGCTCTAATTTGTAGTTACCAATCTGTTGTTACTATATTTTAATTTGACAAACCGGATCTTCGCACCGTTCTTTTCCCTGTCTGATGCGATTGCGATCGCGGATTTTGACCTGGCCGCACCGGAGCAGAGCTGCACATTTTGAGTATGTTTGGCTCAACCTGCTGCTGTGAAGCAGGATTCTCCACCATGAAAATAATCAAAAATAAATATGGATCCAGGCTCAAAATGAGCGCCTTGATATGTGGTTGAGAATGGCTTTGTCGCCAATCAAATGCAGGTTTAAAGCCTTGCAAGGCAGAATAAAGCCCACTGCTCTCATTAAGCCAGAAAAAAAAAACAAAAACAAAAAAAAAAAACGGTCAGTTCAGGTGTTTTTTTTTTTTAATTTTATATAAAAATTCAATGTATAACATGAATGCATAAAAATGCATCCCAGAAACTTGGGACTCTCCTGCTGGTGCATCTTTGTATAAAAGCCTGAGAAATTATTTAAAATGAACCATAGCAAATTGCTCATGTTCCTAATGCTAAATTCACATAAACGCACAAACACACAAGTCAAATTCCTACCCGAACAAGAAAACAACAATAAAAAAGGAGAGGGTATGAAAAAGGGGTCTTGAATGTACCTTCTTTTCCTCCTAAGAATTATTAAACATCAATTTAAAGACACTTTCAGACGGATTGTAAGACCATATATAAAATACCAGGTTATAAATATTTTTAGCCTAGGAAAACATATAAAAAGGCCCAAATTTGTGCATATCTACAGTTGCTATCACTATACACAACTTGGCTTCAATGAGTCTAAAAAACTGGCTTTAATGATCTATTCCTGTCACAGATTGTACGGGCTATAAAACGTTGACCCCGTCTACTGAATGACTGGATTCCAGACATGAAACCAATCGTCTGTCACCAAGTCGGAGCTGCACCATATAAGGAGCAGAGGGCATTCTCAGCATGTTTTCCAAAACCCTACTCAACTAATAGTACTCTGCAGACAAAAAGGCCTTCAGAAACAATCAGCAGATGTACTCTTAGTGACTTCATAACCCAAATGTTTCATCTTTCGAGATACAAGAGCATCTTAAACTGAGCTCAAGGTCTGGGAAGACAAATTTCTTGTAAAGTAGATCAACTCAAAATAAAATGACATTATCATCAAATCTTATACTATTGCCTAGTATGGTGATGCATTCCATTAAGATGATTGTTTTCAAGTCACAACCTTGTTTCCTGTAGAAAAAGTTGCAACATTTTCTACTTCCGCCTTAAAAAAAGCAAACAGACTTAGAATTGGGAATGGAAACTAACACCGCATAAAAATAGAGAAGTTATTAACCTTAGGTACTGACACTGATGACAAACAACTATTTAAAGAGACAAGCAGAAAAGATGATAATGAGTGGTGAATATGGAGGGCAATAGGTATAGCTTAGACTGGGTGATTGTCATTATCACTTTTTGTTTAGCAACACCCATCAAGGCATGTGGGTCATTGGGGTCAAATTCATGCTCTCAGTTAGTGGAGCAACTCTTAAAACATAAATACTTTATCACAATAAACCTTAAAATAAAAGTCGCTCATCCAGCCTATCATCACTATTTATCTTTATTTTTGTCTTTTCTGTAAGGAAGGGAGCTCTTTGCCACAGGATGTTACATACTAACCCTCCCTCAGTTGGTATCGTCAAGGGGAACGTTAGGGTTGTGATGCTCCAATAAACAGAGGCGCGCTTCCTATCAAATTGCAGTCATTATTGCAGTAGCAGTGTGTGAGGATAACGTGATGAAAGTCAGAACGGATATTTTCAAATGGCGGAAAGAGAAAATGGTCAAGAAGGTGCAGCTTTACACCCACAATTTCCAGCAATGATATTCAAATTAGATTCTTTCCTGGTAACATGCAGCTTTCTCAGTAATTGATTCCTACCAACAGGAGGCTGATTAGACTAATTTTGATTTCAGATTCCTAGTTACAGTTGGAACAGACTAGTCAAAACTGGAAAAAAAATAGCCATTCTAAATGGAATCGCTGTCCAATATATAGATTATGAAATCCAATGATAAAACTGTATTGCTAGGAGAAGAATTTAATTGACCAAGAAGTGAATTATTCGTCTTCCTCTTGTGACGTCATCAGCAAAAAATAAACAAAAATCTACTTCTCTGCTTCCTCGTTTGCATATAAGGGTATTTTATGAAATCCTTTAGAGGAATCCACATATGCAGGAGGATGCTCATCTAACAGCGTTTAGACCCAGGGGTGGAGCTAGATGGGGGGCCAGGGGTGGCCATGGCCACCTTTAGCCAATCATTGTGGCCACTCATACCATTTCTTTCCCTCTAATACAGATGGTGAAAGCAGTAATACTCTCAAGTGAAATATTCAAAACATTTTAATTTTTCATATATTAACAATGACTTTACAACAAAAACACTGTGGTAGATTATTCACACCAATATACTACCATTAAAGACGATAAGTACAGATACATGCTCTTTTCAGAACTAGATTTTGTGTTAAATGGGGTAAAGATAAAATTATGTGCCTTTGCAAGTCATCTAGGAGTCTGCAATTAAAACATTGATAAATGACTTTTAATAAAAACTTATTAAACAATCAATTTATGTAGATATTAGTACTTGTAAGTATCAATTTTATGCAGAGTTATTATTTATAAAAGTATGGAAAAGATGTTCACCCCCGAACACAAACCTGAAAGAATTTTATCCACTATACGATTTACCTAGAAAGCGTGGATGTTAAATTATATGTGTCTTATTAGTGAACAAAGGCTGTAGGGAAGTGCAGTTTGTCTTTATTTAGATAAATATGGATGTTGTGCTTGTTCATTTTCCTGTTTGTAGTGTAGATTAGGGTTGCCACCAGTCCCTAGAAATACGGAATCATCCCGTATTTGGAAGTTAAATTACGCATCCATCATTTGACTGGTAAGCGACGCTATTTGTTCCGTATTTTCACGAATAACTAATAAAAAAAACTGTAATTTCAGTGGCACTAGCGCACAGAACAACTAATGTTGTGAGTTCCAACCATGTCTGCGCGTTGTTTCTTTCTCCCTCCCTCCATTAAATCTGATTTTTTTTGCCCCTATGTGACCTGGATCTGATCTTTTTAAGTCAGTCTGCACTACACAGATTTTTTTTCCAATCCGACCCAGGCCGCTTGGCTATGTGGTCCTGAATCCGATACAAATCTGATCTTTTTAAATGCGACCTGTGTCTAAACAGCCGGGTCGCATTCCTCTGACCTGAATGTCATTAATTCCCGACAGTGGTCACTCTTTTGCGTCTTGCTACACAGAAGCGGCAAGAAAAACAACAACAATGGCGGACGACGATGCGGTGAGTAGTATCTCTGTTTAACCATCTTGAAAAGATTTAGTTTTTAGGGTTTGGAAAGATCACTAGATGTTCTCCGGCACTACCATCCATGTTTACTTCAGTAAACGCTGGCTTGTGGCGTCATCGCGTCCTCTACTGCGCATGCGGGACACTTAGGTTGTATGAATGCACTGCAAACAGGAGATCACGTATAAGTCGCATATATTTGGAAATGTGAACAGCAACGCAAAAAAAATCGGACTTCAAAAAAAAAAATCGGAATGGAGCATCAAGGCCTGCAGTGTGAACGTAGCCCTAAAGGGCGGATTATACTTCAATCCACACAATATACACAATCGCACACATCAAATGTTGCTTGCGTCTGTTCGCGAACCAGTTTTGCTGGTATGCTTCTGCAACGTCGGTCTGGAACGCACAGCAGTTTCCCGCCAAAGCGCTAGGGGGAGCCTATTCCAGAACTCACTAAGACTTCGGCGGATGGTAACGAGAAGTTCTTCAGAGGCGCCGGAGGGAGTGTTTATTTTCCAAAACAACATGTCTGAGGCATCGTACAAGTGGTTGTACTTCCGAACCTCCTCAATCAACCTTCCGTCATGGTTATCTGTTGTTGTTGTTACCCCTCGGTTTTTAAAAATGCCGCGCCTCAGCACAAAATCGAGAAGGACAGCCACACAGACAGCTGGAAAGGCATAAAAAGAACCAATCACAGCTGCTTTTTGTCTGCGCACTTCCGCCTGAGGTCTGCGCGGGTTTCCGACCATCCGACGTGTAGTCAGGTTTTTTTTTAAGTGCGCGGCGACAGTTGCAGAGCCTCTGCGCAAGGGGCGTGGTCGCGCACAGAGACAGATTTGACGGTTGCAGAGGGTATGCGAAAAATGCATAAATTGGCCTTGAGAAACACTAAATTTTCAGGGGGAGGACCCCCAGACAGACCCCCATGACAATGAAGTTTCTCTAAGACCCCCACGTCCCTTATTTCCATTTCTGGATGGTGGAAACCCTATTGTAGATTATGTACCCTGAGGTTCTGGCACCTATCAACTTTTGGTCCCCCCCCTTACTGTACCTTGGTTATTTCCTGGCCACCCTTATAGAAATTTTCTGGCTACGCCTCTGTTTAAACAACAGAGATGATGGGAGGATTTCCTGGCAGGAATGCGGCTTTAGCTGAAACTTCATGTCGGCCACTGGTTGAAGTGGGTTGGTGGGAGACAGCAGCCCCCTCCCTGCCCTCCACATCCCTTGGTTTGCCTTCATACTTTGCTCGATAACAATCAGAAAGAGCTGAGCGCGCATTAAAGGGGCGGACAGACGCCTTCCTTTGTGCGCTTCATCGTTCAGACGCCAAAAAGTATCAAACTTTGCTCCCACATGACTTTTCTTTGAGGCATAAAAGAAAATAGAGAAAAAAATGTTCTAGAAAGAAACGGGAGAAGTCAGACTTTGTTTTGCTGATAAAAAAAAAAGAAAACTCGCATCCTTGTTTTTTTTTTTAGTACAACTGAACGCGACGCGTCGCGCCTCAAAGTAAAGTTTTCGAGCTTACCTGTGAATCCTAACGGGACAAAAGTAGACCTCTGGAGTTTAGCTGAAAGAAGAGGAAGGGGATCCAGTCTGCAGTTGATCCTCCTCTACACTCAATGTTAAAACCACACTGAATACCCCGTCCAAGCCCCTCCCTTTAAGAAGACATAATCGCCATCTACTTTTTTTGTGCGTCTGGGCCGAGCTGTTCAGTCTGTTTTTTTTAAAGGAGGAAAAAAGCTGCTGAAATGCTTGTAAAGTCTGCCTGCCTTCAAAGGAAAACATTTAATATATTTATATACATGATCTGAAAACTTAACAAGAACTCCTCAAATCTATATGAGCTATACAGAAAATATGTCTTTGTCTTTCAAAAAAAAAAAAAAAAAGCCAAGGAGATGATGGGCCTATTGTTAAAAAAAAAAAAAAAAAAAGGCCAACGGCATAAGAAAGCAAAGTATTTGCCTAACCTATGGAAGAGGATTAGGGCCACTGAAAAAAAATAAAAAATAGTTAACTGATTTTTAAATATTATTTCAGTTTAATATGAGAAAAAATCATCAAGCATCAAGCCGTAACCATGTCTGTTTTAGACACTAAACTAGCTATCTTGTTTTAATTGCCTTCTGCTCTTCCATTAATGAAATAGCATCACTGGGGACCCATCAGGCACATAAAAAGTCGCCTAATTCCGTCATTTTCCACCAATGTGTTACTGGCCCTCCCAATCAAGTCACATCTTTGAGATTAAAGTCAGAATTCTGAGGGGGAAAAAATGTAAAAGTCTGAGAAAAAAGTCAGAGTTCTGACTTTTTACTCATATTAAACTGAAATATTTAAAAATCAGTTAACTTTTTTTTTTTTTTTTGTGGCCCTGATCCGTACTAACCTACAGAAGGAGTTTTAAGAGGGTGCTTGAAATCTCAGAGCAAAGTACGGTAGTCCTATCTAACTCAGAAGAGAGAACTTGAATTCTTATTCAGAAATATCAGGAGGACAACCTTATTGTTGGAACCTAGAGTTGAATATCTAATATCACTGTGGATTATAAAACTAAAGAAGTTACACGGATGAACTGAGCTTACATTTTATATTTCTGTAAACTATTAGAACACAGAACTGTATCATTTTTCAGTTTGACACTATTTTCTGTTTGCAATCGGTCACGATTGGGAGCATTTCTATTCACTGAATGATAGACTTAATAGAGAATTTTTTGATTTTTTTTCAAGAATATGAATTCAAAGGTAAAAATTAGTTTTTTTAGTATTTGACAAAGTTTTTCCCGATATCCTTCCATGTTTCTTGCAGTCGTTTAATAAAATCCGCCCACGTCTTTTCACTTGGTTGTCCACGTCCAAGTTTATCTTTAATTTGGGGAAATGCTTTGGATCATTGTCCGTTCAGAAGATCTTTGTCCATCTGTTAAGGTTAAATTTGTACCACATGAATTATTCCTACAGCAAAATACACATACAGCATGAGGCTGCCTTCTCTTTAATTCAGAATTTTAATGTTGTTCTAAGGTTTTAAAGCCTCCACTTTTGGAAGATATAGTTCTTTTTTTTATTCCCCATTGCCTTTTGGCTCATGCCAGAACGGGACCCCTCTCTACTCAATTTACTTATACAGGATGTTTTTTTAAACAGACTTTACAGATAAAGTCAGTTTAATATAAAAACAGAGATTTCCAGTTCTTATGATTTAAATTGATTGTAAAGATTTCTATAGAATTAAAACCCAGCAGAACAAGAGGGGTCTGGCTGCAGACCTGAACTGTCAGGACCCAGAGCTGCACTGTCAGGACCCAGAGCTGCAGAGCTGCACTGAGAGATCTCCTGCGCTGTTTATTCGAAGACTTTCAAAATAAAATCAAAGTTGATTCGAAGCCTTTCTAAAGTAAAAGCTAGTGTTGATAAATTCCCCATGAAGCTAACTTCCTTTCACAAACAAGTGTTGCTATGCTGCAAACTTCTACTCCCTATTAAACTCCTATCTGGAATAATAGATATGTGCTACATACAAATAAATCTCTGTAGTTGGATCACTGGGTGGAGAAGGGAATTTGGTCTATAAGGCATTTTCTAAACAACAATGGAGGTTGGCTGTCCTATGAGGATTTTTGCTTGCTGCATAATTTAAAATGCTCAGTTTAACACTGTCAAAATCTAATCCGGCAGCAAACATTTCATACACGATATTCCCTAAGGCTTTGGATAAAATTTCCGGAATAAACCTCCAGTTCTGGTGGTGCAGGAGACCCCATTTTGCAGGTCTGCAAGGAAGGGTTCTGACAGTGCAGGTCTGCAGACAGACTGTCTTGAGCAGATCGCACTTACTAAGTCATTTACGTGGATTATTCACTCCCCCTGGATAAGCATGTAGCGATAGCGAGGAGGATGACTCCCCTTTGAAAAGAAGAAACCTAAAATGGAACCATTTTGTCATTCTTCATGGCTTTATATGATATTCATCAGTAAACAGTCGGACTAATGCTTTAAAAAACATCGACAAATCCATTGAAAAATGTTCTTGCTTCCTACTGTGTTGTAATCCCCGTAATCCTAACCTGAAACAGAAAAAACCTTTATCCATTGGTCATAAATAATCCGTCTTCAGCAAAACAAGGCTTGTTTAAGGTTTCTAGGATTCTTTATCTAAGAGGTGCAAATAAATGCAAACTATCCTCCTTTAGAAATGTTGCTGAGGTTGCAGGAAGTTATGAGGTGACTAACACAATAGCTGCAATGTTCTACTTTTTTATTAATGATGCATAAGCGTACAGACACTGCCCTGCTTTGTCTCGATCTTTAAAACAATGACACTCAGAACAAAAGGGGATCTTAAGAGCATTAGCCCACTGATGCAGAAATGAGCACCATATGCGCTCCTGATCTCTCACTGGAAATCTGTTTCGTTTTAAGCAAAGCAGAACTGGTGCACATTTACTGTTATGGAAGTATACACGATGTGCAAGAGCAGAGAGAGGAAACAAGGAAAAGCGGGTTAACAGGTTGTTCAGCTCATCCCAAAATATGTTCATCTCCCCCAGTCCTCAGAATAATGATGAATTTGACGATAAAACTGTCACTCTTCATCTGCTGTGTTTATTTTCAGCTTTCATTGCACGTCTTGGCCTCGGAAAGCTTCATTGACTGAATGCAGAAATGGTTTGGCTTCCAGACGCGAAGAAGCAGCTCAGGGGAAAGTTTACAGTCAGCACAATGCCCCCATTTGCTATATTTACATGGCTAGCTAAGGTGTTTACCTTAACAACATGCTTCGGTTTACTTTTAGCCTCCTTAGGGCTCTGACCTTACTAGATAGTAAGCAGAGGAAGAAAACTAGTTTTGCAGAAACTGAACAGAGCCTATAGCCCTGTTAAAACCAGCAGAAGTGGTCCATATAGACCAGGGGTGGCAAACTGGTTCCAGAAAGAGCCGCGTGGCTGCAGGTTTTCTTTCCAACCAAGCAATGGCACACCAGACTCCATTCATCTCATCAAGTGAGTCCAATCTGAACATGATGACTTGATGAGATGAATGGAGTCTGGTGTGCCATTGCTTGGTTGGAAAGAAAACCTGCAGCCACGCGGCTCTTTCTGGAACCAGTTTGCCACCCCTGATATAGACATTAAGTGAGGGCTGGGGATGCACTATGGCCTCTGGCTGTTTTGCTTTCTGCGAGACGTTTCTAGCTTCTATCAAGGTTTTTCAGATCCTTACAGCCTGAGGCCAGAAAAAAAAAAAAACATCCATACTGTCATATTTATCAGTTTTATATTTCTCCAAATTGTTACATCATAGGAAAGCCATCAGAAATGATTATAAGGGTTTTGATATTACACTGATATTCAACAAAGCTGTGATGTTTTCCAGTTTCATCATGTTATTTCAAATCAGATGAAAGAATGCCGCCATGTTGCGTGAATCTGACATTAGTTGTTGTCGTAAATGTGCAGCCAGCATCAACCCGATAAGGCCTATTAATGTCATATGGAAATGGATTAACGGCTGCCGCAGCCTGACTCTGGTGCATTTATGATGGATGAGGGGTATCTCAGATTTTCAGCAGGGGGACGTGCATACCAAATACCTGTGGCAACCTGTGTAAAGACACAAAGCTTGGATCCTCTAAGTCGTTATCTCTTTCCTTCTCATGTCTCTTAAAGGCAATAGTAAAGGATGTTTTCTGGTAAGAGAAGAAAATAGGAATAATTACCTTTTATGTTTGCTTTCATGTAAAACGTACAGTGTGAATTCTTATACTTAATGGCTCAAAGCATTCTGCTGTTATGGTATTGATTTACAGTTCCCTCCATGGTTACTTGACACCCCTGGTAAAGTTGTATGAAATTAAATTAATTCAGCATTTTGTTGCAGGAGCAATATTTAGGTTAAATAAAGGCATAAACTTCCTTTTCTGTATTTCTCTTATGAAAACTTTTCTAATCTTGTCAGCATTGCACAGATAAAACAATAGGGCATGCTTTATAATAGAATTGCAGGCTTTCTTTGTTCACATTTCTTAATGTATAACTGTAGAGGAATCTCATCTGTATGACAGAAAGGTAAAATGTGCATCCCATCCATTGGTTTTAATCCTAAAGAAAGTTATTTAAAGTAAAAGATTTGGAACCGAGGATTCAACCTTGTGGAACTACATGACTTATTCAGATCCACAAGGGATATGCCTGAAAAGGTCATCTTGGTCTTGAGTTTTTTCATTAGTTTAAAAAGCTTAAATATTGTGGGTGAAATATTTTCCCCTAACAAGAAAAACAAACTGAAATTTCAGAAGAAAAATAGAGAAATCAAATAGTTTTAAACAAATGAGATTATTAATCTGCTACCGGTATTTAAACATTGTTTAATACATGTATTTCCATTGCAAATATGCACAATCTCAGAAAAATATGTTTTGATCCATCTAGTTACCATTTCTCTTCATGAAAAGCTCTTAAATCCCGGCTTATTAGAATAACTTGGACCTGCTCTTCATGTCAAAACACAAAAATCAGCCACACTTTGGAGCAAAGCTCCAACCTGGACCTGCTTAAAATCTACTAACAGTATTCTATGAATATTTATAATATTCACTGCATTAAAGCTTGAGACAAATAAAGGCAAAATTACTGTTTCTAGGTATAAAATACTGGCAACTTGTAG